TTCTGACCAGTCTGCAAGCTTGCTGCTGATCTGGGTATAGTGGCACGTCGAAATCAATACATAAAGCAGTTGTGACCTCTAGAAAGCTGAGACAGGAATCTGCCCAGCAGGATGGGTTCTCCATGCAGCTGGCCTGTTAATGAAGCGAGTCCCTGTTTTTAATAACCCTGCAGTATGATTCTTCCCTTAGTTTTGTGGACTGAACGTCCTCAGCCATCTTTTCCCCAGGCTTGACTTTCTCACCAGTCCTAGGTCTTCAGCCACTGCAGAGTTCTAAGTTTCAGCATGATTCATTCTTCCTGAGACATATGATATCTTTAAAGAAAGACAACTGTAAGCGATTCTTGGTCGAGGTAGCTAAGGCCAAAATCAGTGTTGTCCTGCAGAGAAATAGGAAGAGAGTTTAATACTTCCTATCATCTAAATCATCACAACGTAGGATAAGGCTATAGAGCATTGCTGCGCTAGGAGTCCGCTTTCAACAACGATTGTCGGTTGTTGCATCTGGCTACGAACCTGTGGCTTTGTCTCTTTGTAGGTACCCAAATCTCGCTTCAAAATGATCCAGAACACAAAATACGGTCAAGCAAGTCACTGACCTTATCTGGGGCACGAGGATGAAGGAATAGCTTTCCATGTCTATCACAAAGGCCCAAGTTTTAAGGAAGCATCATTTAAAATAGCAGTGGGGGACTTGCAGCAGAGTCCGGACAGAGCCTTCGCTTCGCACAGCCTGCAGTCGCTCTCTTTTTGCATAATTGGATAACGTTGACAATTACTTGGGCTCGGAAAGCCTTCCTGACCTTCACCAAAGTCTTGTGCCCTTGCTCTGGCGTCCATGAATAGTTCAGGTACAAGAAAGCATCATCAAATCAGCTAAGGAGAAGCCTTGCTCGAGCACACCAGAAACATGGACAACCAGGCCATTATGTTATCAAGACCCCACAGCGACTGCTGTCCCCATGTGCTCAGCTCAGCGCTAATGTTGCTGAGGAAGCTCACGTTGTTCCCGACTTGCATGTGCTCATTGCCGTGCTCCGCGCAGGGCAGAGCAGCACGGTTGGGACGGTTGGTTTGCTAAGAGGGATGTAAACAGGGTTGGAAAGCAGCTCCCGGCACTGCTCCAGAGGCACTCTGCTGGTGGCCAAGCTGCGTGGCCAGGAGGTGGGTTAAGGCACCCAGGTGCTGAAGAACCGTGTTTCATTAGCACAGCAGCTCCGGGACCGTGTGGGCAATACCAGTGCGGCTTTGTGAGGGGCTTGTTTTTAGAGAGAGCTTGCATACAGGAAGGTGTCCGAGAGGGAGGGTAGAATGTTTTTTCCAGGTTATTTTCCACTCCTGCTAGCGCAGACACCAGCTTTTAAACTGCAGAGCTGTTTGCAACACTTGCTTTAGGAAAAGCCCTAGGAAGGCTGGCACGGTCACCGCAGAGGTGGTGAGCACCCCGGGCAGCAGCCGGCAGCGAGGAACTAGCCGTCCCCTCGGCAGAGCCAGCTACAGCACCGCCACCAGTGAGGCGGACGAGGGAGCTGGCTGGAAGAGGAGCGCTGGAGGGGCCACCACCACTGAAATAAGACTGCTCAGGGTGGTGACTGGGACATCATCTTGGATAGCTTGATTCTCCTGAGGCATTTAGGGTCAAATTTGCTCTCCCAGCAGCAAATCATGGGCAAAACAGAAAGGGCCTGTGCTGCATTTCAAACCACAGGTAAAAGCAGAGGTCGTCTTCCAACACAGTGTTTGCTGTGAGTACTGGTTTTTGCCCGCAAATGCAGAAGTGGGCAATTTAGGCCTATTTCATACTCAAATTTCCTATCATTTTCACAGCCCCAGCAGTACTTTCTAGGCAGTTTGCGGACAGTTTCAGCTAGCAAGACAAAGAAAACACCCCAGGAACAGATTCCTTAGAGTGTCTGAAAGAGGAAGCTGAGGGAGGCCACCACCTCGCCATGAAGGAGAGGTGCTCCCCCAGCCATCTCGCCTCTTCCAGGGAAAGCGTATACTTACGTTGCACATCAAGTATGAATGTGCAAAAGGAATAGTTTCGGCAGTCTGGTGAAAGAGCAGGCTCCAACTCCACACTCCTTGTCTGGGCAGGATTAGGGCCCTTCAGTTAAGGTGTGGCTAAAAGGCAACTTACAGCAGAAAGAGCTAAGTGACCCAAAACCTTAGCCTTTGAAGGAAGTGAGCTCTCCCACTGTGCATTTCTGACAGCAGACACGCAAGGCTCAAGCTTCTCCTGAATGGTTATGAAATACTGTTTCCTGTTTTTTCCAAAAAAGGCTGCAAGTTAAGCTGTTAAATACCTTCAGCCAGCATTCATGTCTATGCAAATACACCTGGGAAAACAAGCCTGTTGTTGGCTCGCTGCGTGACAAGGCTGTGCTCTAAGACATAACTATGAAATTGTCCACGTTGGGCAAAACTGGTTGTGTTTCAGCAACCTAAGCCACTTAGTCATGTTCTCTTAACCCCCTCCCCCAGCACACTCGCACTTGGTCAAAACCCTGCTGTTTAGTGAGAAAGGAGCAGAAAGGCTGGCATCTAATATTCTCTCAGGAACATGAGTGTTTCCGTAGTGCTAAACAGGGAGCAGGACTTCACAGGGACATTAGTAAATACTAGGTATGGGTAAGTAAGGGTCTTACTGCTGCAGTTTTCTGAGAAACATAATTAATTCCAAAGTAAGCTTTGAAACAATTAGCAGTTCAAAAAGAGTCACTTAAATGACAGCTGGGCCATTCACTGCTTACAAAGGGTGAAGAACTTAAGGGTTTCAGAGGCTTTTCAAGAGACCAGAAAAACTGCTTTGCAAGCCAGCAGTGCCTCCAGAGCCCACAGGTGACAGAGGTTAGAGCAGCTGTCACCACTGTATTGCCATGAGCCTGGGATCACAGCCCTTTCTGCATGCAAAGGGGCTGATCGTGGCGGGGTGCAGTCATTTGCTAAGCCTCTGGGAACTGGGGTGGCTCAGCTTGCAGAAAAGGTCAGGTCCTGCTGCTGAAGAGTCCCTTTAATGGCTCAAGCGAAAAGCTGTTTTTTTGGAAACCAGTTAAAAACTAAGCTTCCCAGTACAAAGCCAAATTGAAGTCATACATAGAGATGTTCAATGTGGCACAAAGGCTCTATCTATCTGTGTTACAGCTCCTGAGTCTGCCCCAGTGTCAATGCAAGCTTGTGATTATTTGCCTCCCAGGAGCCTGGCCTGGCCCTGCCTGGCCGGTCCATGGTTTTTGGCTTCACAGCAGCAGACCCCAGCTGGGGAGGGGGCACCAGTTTGCCAGCTGTACTACTACTACTCGTTCAAAAAAAACACACACACATACACTACTCCATCCTACACAAATGCTCGACAGTAATGCAGCTCTCTGCCACGGAAGAGGCTTTTAATATTATTATTTTTAGAGATCCAGTGAATTCCACAGCTTCTCCTTGTCTTGTACGGCCCATAAAAGGTATTGTAAGCATATGGCATAAGCTACCTGCTCTGCTAGTCACCTGTCACGCAGAGCCTGTTCGCAACAGGAAAACTTAGGAGAAACTTAGCTTTGGACTGTCAGTATGTAACAGCAAGAAGCCTTTGTCTCTGTTAATCACAAGGGAACTAGCGCAGCAGAGTTCCTACCTGTATTAACCTAATACACAGAACCATTTTTTCCCTCAATCAGATGAAGGAAACCAGGAATTCTTTCCTCTGGGCCTGGATAAATAGGGGTAGGATCAAACACATGGTAGACATGAACATGCTAAACTATAATAATCATGATGGCAACACAAGAAAAAAAATATTTCTGAAATAAAAACAGCATACCATTATTTGCATTAAAACCAAAACCTCTCCCTTGGTTTCACCCAGTCATGGCTAAGAGGAGTTTTATAGAGCAAAACATATTGTCAAGCTACTAAAAATATCAGGGAGCTTACCAGAATAGGTTATTAAATGCCTTTTTAAAAAGGTATGCAATTCATTCCCAGTGGCCCATTTTACTCAAATAAGCCACAGAAAAATTGTATAAAAAGATTTATTGAAATTCATCAATGACAAACAGACATAAAACTCAAAGTTTGGCTCTTCTGGGAAAAAAAACTGTTGCAAATGTATTTATACAGATGAAATATTGACTAGGAAATACAAGTCACTTCTAAAGCTATTTTAAAGAGGGATATGAAAGTAAAACTGTACATTCACTAGGTATTTTCAGTCATTTTACTGACTTCCACTAGGTAAGAAAATACAATTTTGTATTAGTATCTCGTGCTTGAGTGTATGAAAAGAAACCTCCTACCCTACATGCTGAACTGCCTCCTGTATTTAGGTTTGTAAAAATTTTCAAAGTATATAGCACAAGTGGAAGTAGTTTCTCATCACTTAAAATTGACTAGGTGTTATATATTACAGACCAAAATAGTACACACCTTATTTAAAAGGGTTGAAACATTTTTTTTATTACAATTGTCAAATTCATTTCACTAGTAACTCAGGAATTAGGAACACTTTTTATTTATATTTATATAAATATTTAAATGCCTGCCATTTTCAGTGTATTGGCTATACCCTAGCCAAAAAAAAAAAAACAAAAAAAAAAAAACCCAAAAAAAACAGAAAGGAAAAAACACAACACACAGGGGGGAGGATTGCAAGTTCACCCCACAAATCAGATCCAAAGGAACACCCCAAAAAACAAAACAAAACAAAAACCCCATTTGGTCACTATTTACAAACAGCAAAATAAAAGGTACCTACAGAAGCAGGGAAAGCACTGGCTGAAAATGGCAGTCATTCACGGACAGGCAACAAAGAAATCACTTTATCAATATGCCATTCTCACACCTGTTGCTGTGGAGGGATGCTTTGCCTAGATCTGCATCATCCCTAAAAAAATGCTTACAATATGTTTAGTGACTGGCAGCGGTGGAAAATCCCAACAAACATATTCAGCTGTCTCAGAACAGATTATGCATATTTTGGGTATGATCCACTGATCTTAAACTTTTTTTTATTTTTTAAGATGTCAAACTATCCACTCCAATAATAAGAAACAAATTACCACTTGGTTTATACTTACTATTGCAGTTACAGGGACTAAGAGAGGGACGAAAAAGAAAAATTTTAAAACGAATAGGAGGAGGAGTGGCAGTAAAAATAGTATTTTATTCCCTTGCCCACCCAGTCTGCTTCTCCCTCTCGTTCCCACAGCAACATTACAATCGGGGGGGAAAAAAAAGTTGGGGGTGTGGGGAGGGGAGATACAGGGTAAAAACAGTCAAATCACAATAGGAAATTTTCAAAATAGGTTATTCAGTTTAGTCATCTTCATCCCCTTCGTCTTCAGGTTCTCGTTTTCTCTTCTGTCCCCTTTCTTCATCTGCAAAATAAAATGCAACTTGAATTATAGGAGTGCTACTCGGAAGCTGAACAAGTTCAACAGGCTTCTACTTGGCAGCTGGCTTGCTATCAAAGAAGCAGGAATACAAATGTGAACCTCCTTTTACTATACTACACATTTTTTTTTAAATCTCTAGCAAGAACTGGATTACTGCCATACCGAGTTCTTCTTCATCTTCGTCATCATCTACCTCACCGTCATTATAGCCTTCTTCATCCTCCTAAGACAGAAAAGAAAGGATTTTTAAAAGTTGCTTTTCGTGCAGCACCTTTCACAATTTGACAATATCCGACAGCATTCTACAACAGTGAAAAAGTCCTCGAAGCACCTTAAACAAAAAAACAAACAAAAAGGCAGATGCTTCCCACGCACTTATGTAAGTGCGGTTGCTGAAGTTCTTAGCTACAGCATAACTGACTCTGGCCCAAGTTTCACTACAGGAAATCAAAAGCAATCATAGCAGCCACTTCTAGCTTAAAGCCTTCAGCAAGTAAATGATTTTATAACTCACACTGCTATGTAGCTGCCAATTTGTTATGAAGTTTAAGTTTAGTAAAAGTTGATGATTGGACAGTAGAAAGCAAAACGTCTAGGGGTAAGGAGAGTTACAAGATGAACAGGCATCTCCAGATTCTGAGAAGTTGCTGTTATTTCTAAGAACAGGCTGGCCAATCAGTCAGAAAGTGTGGGAGCTAAGTATCTGCCGTTCTTTGGCCAGAGGATGGATTATATGATCGCCTACAGTCACTTTTTAGTCCCATTCCCAGAGGTTCTTCTAACAGCAAGGTCTCAGCAGATTGCAACAGGCTCAGCATACCCTATGCACAGGATCCAGATTATGCTAAGAATGTAAGCATCCTTAAGTATCAGAAGGTGTATGTCCAAGGAGGAACCTTGTTGTTCTGAGGGCATAGGGTCAGTAATTTGTGTACCACATCGAGCAGCATGCAACTTCCACAACATCAGCGTGACCTTGTTAGAGCAGGGCCTGCTCAGTCTCTCCTTACAAAGAGGTGCTAAACTGTTTTTCTACGTGTGCTAAGAACACCATGACCAACAGCTACCCACAGGCCCTCGCAAAGACACAACTTCACTTTCTGCTCTTTGTGCTCATCCTGTTTATCCCGTTGTTACTCCGACTAACTCTAACTCAAATCAACACCATGGTGTAAAGAATCAGTGTTGGTACTCTGTTTTCTGGGCTGCAGTTTCTCCCATTCTCTCCCTTGCTAGTCTGGAGACTGTAACTCCACCTCTTCAAAGGCTCCACATGTTAAAACTCCACACACATTCCTGAGAGTATTTTTGACATCAGCCCAATAAACAACATGATTTAATGTCAGTGGTCACTAGATGGCAGCTGGCTCACAAACAGACACTCCTCAATGCCACTCCCATTGTAATTTTAATGCTTCTCAGTTGTTGTTGTTTTAAAAAGAAAGTACTTGCTTCAAGTACAAAAAGGTTCAACATTTGGTCCATTTCTTGCCCAGCTATTCCAAGTTAGAAAATGTTCACTCCATGCTCACTATTAACTACAATAAATCCTCACCTCCTCTTCTCCACTCACATCTTCCTCTTCTCCTTCCTCCTCTTCCTCCTCATCTTCTTCGTCTTCTACTACCTGAGCATCTTCATCGTACTCCTCTTCTATACAGTCAAACAAGATTAACCACTCAGATATTTAGAGTTTATTTTTTTCAGCTTTACCTCCCGAGATGTGCCCTCTTAGTAACATAAGGAGCAAATTGAACGTGTTGCTTAAAGGCAGAACAGAGTTTCATGCAACTCTCCAGCTGCAAAACACAGGGCTCAGAGTCCCGCGCCTCTTTAGTCTAGTGACGGGGTACCATGGCAGTTGCACCCGTGGTCTGACCTGCTCCAGGACCGAGGGGGACCCCAGGGCTGCTTTAGTTGAAGCTGCTCCAGCTCCCACGACTAACAGGCATTTTAAAGCCTACGAGACACTGCAGCTCTTCTGCTCTGCCCATCTGCTCCTACCAGGGACAGAGCAGAACTGTAAAGGGCAACCATACCCTAGAAATGCTCCCCAGCAGCCACCCCTTTCCTTTGTGCTGCCAGAGCAGCACAAAACGTCCACACATAATCCAACTTACAAGTTTTCAATCTGTTTTTGAAAGGAAAGAGCTTAAATACACCTAGCCCGAGCAACAAACCAGGAATGCTTTCCATACCATAAGAATGGTGCTTTGGAGCTTTTTCATGCATTTGAACACAGGCCCAGACTCGTGCTCTGCTGAAGAGAGCCTGTCCCTGCTGAAGCTGGCCGAATGCACCACTCTGCCAGGCAGTGCTGCAGCACTCAACCCTTTCACCAGATCTCACACTCAGCACTCGAGAGAAAAGTGCAAGTCCAGCTATTCTGCTTTTGCTGTGCAGCTGGGTTTGAAGAGTCTAGCAAATTCCCCAACTCAGCCTGATACTCGTCCAGCTGGTGAACTGATGCCTCTGACTGCAGTCTGCCGGGGAGGCAGAATGGCACCTACAGCCCAGTGGGACCCACAGTTAATTTTCCTAACATTAGAAAGTTGCTTGCTACTTCATTAGTGCCTTTCACGGAGCTTGCTCCAGGCAATCTTCAGTATACACACTCTCCTCTCCTCTTCTGCCCTAATCTAACTAGTTCACTTTGCCCTTAATGATCAGACATACTCTCCTATTAACAAGCAATGCCTCAGCTCCTCTGTTTGAATCCTTGACTCTGCCACTTTTTTCTATGCCCAGTCTGGTTCCCCCTTCTATCCTCATCTATCAGGGTCTACACAACTGCACATACTCCTCTGACTGTACGGTTCCTGGAAAACTGCAGTATGTACATGTTATCTTTTCTTATCCACTTCTTCCTTATGTCTTCCTCCCCGATGTTCACTGTTCCCTGAACTCTTTTAGTGTCTTATTGCTTGTCTTACCCCTCCTCCCGGCCTGTTTCTTCTACCCCCCCTTCACTCCCTGTCTTTTACAACAGATAAGACTGAGAAAGCTTTTTCAAGCTTTCGTTCCTTCAGAGGACACTGAGGTGGTACTTCTTTACCTCAGGCAGGGAAGGAGCTGCTGAGAGACCCCTTCACTGGCCAGAAAGTCAGAGCTGGAAACAAAAACTACTAGGCAGCATATCACTCTTAACTTATGTACACCAAGTAGCACAATTCACATACCATCTTCATCTTCCTCCTCATCGTCTAAGCCTTCCACGTAGCCCTCTGCATCAGAGTCTGGCGCTTCTTTGTCATCCCGATCGTAGCCATCGAGGTATGTGAGCTGCGGGAGGAGCTTGAATACGTTTTCTCTATAATCGTTCAAGTTGGTTACCTCGCAATTGAAAAGATCTAAACTCTTCAGGTTTTCTAACTTTTTCTGCAAGGAAAGAAAAGTCTCTGAAGTTCAGTGTCACAATAAATCTCTAAAGAACAGAGAACTCTACAGCAGCCGGAGTTAATGTGCTCAACAGCTTCCCGTGACAAAAGGGCCATTTCATTGTCTGCCCACTAAATTGGTGTGGAATAGAATTCTGCAATGCTTGGCCATTGCTGCTTTGCTATCTGTGAACGGAAAATGCTCTTTCTAAAGTTCAGTACCTCACAAGCAGAAGACTGAAATTTGGAAAGAGGTAATGGTGCAAAAATCACGCGTTGTAAGGGGCCAAGCCAAGAATAAATACCAGTCCAGTGAGTTATCCCAAAAAGGCAAAAGCAAGACTTTGGATCCAGCAGTCAGATACTTTTAAACTACAATTTTCAGTGTAAGAAGAAACAGACGATTCTTTGGATACAAAAATTTTACTAAGAGACATTTAAAAACTTTTAGTGATTGTAGTCTACTAACTTTCAGAAGAATGAAAAAAAAGTTAGAAATTGAACATAAAATAACGTTTTTTCATTTTTTTTTCTTGAGGAACATGTCTGTACTGCCAGCAGCCAACGACATTTAAAAGTACTAACAAGAAAAACACAAGCATAGCAGTTAAGGATTTGTTAACAAGTCTTATGAACTATCTCAGTTCTGGAGTTGAAGATACATAGCAGCGGTGATATCAAGAAAAGAACAAGTCTGTAAGTGGAAGCAGTTACAATCCTCTTTCTCATACCTTTGCTACAGGAGTTTAACTACTCTGCTGTCCCCTTCCGTTAGAGGAAAGGAGGTCCAAGATGAACTAATCTGAGAATTGCTCCTTGAGACATTTTAAGAGCAAGTATTTGGGAAGTCAGAACAAGCTGAAATTCTTCATTTCTGGAGATTAAAGGGCACACAAACCAAAAAATAGAAAACAGTTCTAAGAATTGGACCTGTGGATGCTTTTTGGAACTGCAGCCTGATAAACCTGAACCCAATATTTGAAATAACCACAGTGGAAGCGATCAGGCGAAGCCTGGTGGCACATGGCATTGCAGCTGGTTTCTACAAACACCAGCACATCCCACATCACTGAGCAGAAGTGGTGGCTGGTAATTTTCGACTGAATGCTTTAGAGAAAATACATTCGGTTTAAGTAGAGAGTCTGGCTAAGGGAGGCAAACCTGCAACACATGCCAGCCGTTTGAGCTGACTCTAGGTTAATCCCTTCCAAGGGGTTACACTGGTGGAAAGTTGCTGTGCTTCTAAAATGCACCGATTGAGTGACATTAGCCTTCATATTTCAGGGAGGGCACAGGACTGCAATGTGACACTGTCAGGTGCACAGCTTTGATCCAAACAGGCAGTCCTGGCAGATACAATCTGTGTGGATAAGCAGAGACCTACTTCCCTCATCAGCTAGCCTCAGTCAGGACTTAAAGGATCAGCTATCGAAAGAGGAGGGAAGCAAAGAACGAGTAGTAAGCGTGTCATACTGGTACCACAGTGGAGGTACTGCACTACTCCACCATAGTGGAGATATCTACAGAAAGCTGCGAAGAAACAGGAGTAACCCGCAATCTACATCGTTACATTTTACAAGTAGCTATCACTGCAACTCTGGTTGTCCTGCCCTAAACCGGAACAGGCAACGCGAGGACAAAAGGTTCCAGATCTTGCTGCAGCCACCTACACGCTGCCTGATCTGTCTGCCCCATGCCGAGTCTTGACTCCTGGGGATGTGGCTGGCTCCTCTTTTGCAGAGGGCTGGCCACTAGAGGGAGGCAACATCTCATGCTCCCAGCTGAGACGCAGCACCACTCCCCGCTACACTATGCTCCCCAGCTACACTATGCTCCCCACGCATGGCACTGGACTACCAGCACCCTATTAAGGGTGTCAGTCTAGAGCCACAGCCACACTCGCTACCATCTGGTAGCAAAAGCCAACAGCTGGAGAGATAAACACCAGGCTCCATTAAGCCAGTGCATTACCCCTCCTCATCACAAAATGACAGGTTTTGTTTTCATTCTGTATCATAGTAACTTACCAGAGGTTCTATTGTACCGAGATCTTTTATTTTGTTGCCACTTAGATTTAAATGCGTGAGGTTTGGACACTTTTCTGCCAACACTTCCAGTCCTCCTGAGATTCTGTTGTCGCTTAGTTCGAGCTAAAAGGCAGATAAACATCTTGAGTTTTTGGCACAAAGCATGTATCATAAAGCCGTTTGCAGAAAAACTTAATTTAACCAAACCAAACAACCATTTTATATTCAGTATAGTGCAAAGAGGGAAAGATATGGCATATGGCATTTTATTTACCTTCTTAAGTTTGTTTAACTTTGGTAAGTTTGCAACTGAGGCTAGGCCTACGTTGATTGTACTTAAGAATTCCAGCTCTTCAAACTCATCTGTAAGGCCTTCAATTTTGCCTTCACATGACCTACAGTTGTCAAGAACGAGTTCTTTAACCTGGAAAAAGAGCAATGCAAAACACGTATAAGAAGTTCTGCACGGAGAATAAAGAGATCGCTCACAAGCAAACCACAAAACAACTCAAGCAATGGAACTGAATAAAAAGCATTCCATTAAACTGGGAAGCATGCTAAGGGTTATTCTCAGTATCTGATCCCTAACTTTGCTCGCTTGCTAGGTCAGCATCTCGATGGGTCTCAGCTATATTTCAAAAACACAGCTAGACTTCAGAAACATTAATCCCGGCCTAATCGATTGTTTGTTATAAGTAGCACTGACTTTGGTAAATGAAAGTAATAAGCACTCTAAACAGTATGAAAGCGACATATATATTTTAAACTAACCTACAACTTTGACACTTTTCGCAACTGGTCTGCTATTACAACGTATCATCAGTTGTTACAACAGCTTCTTTGTGCATGCAAAAATTATTGAAGCTTTTCAAGCTGGAGAACTGTGTATTTCAGATCACTGCCTACTCAGACATTTCCGAAACCCCAAGACAGACGCTGGCAATCCTAAATCAGGCGTTGCTGGATTTCATCCTCACCCCTTCTCATGGTACCTTCACGTACCTCAGGACAAGATCTTCTCCACAGAGGCAACTATTTTCTTGAGGAATTACAAGGTATGTTGCAGATGATTCTGGAAGGGGAGGTTTAGTGAACAGAGGCTACTGCTACTTAAGTGCATCTCTCGACTTATCTCCCCTGCCCTGCTGCAGCAGGGAGACTCCAAGGGGGAGGAAGCGATAATTTCCCCAGATGTCTGTGCCTGCAGCACAGAAGGGGCCTAACAGCGAGAGCAGAGCAGCTGACACAGGGCGTGTAAAGCAAGTTACAATCTGCTTTACTGAGCACCACTCTTCTTGCAAGTGCTATCTTCAACTGACACAAAACAACAGCATTAATGCAAAAGAGCCGCTAAACATGCTCCACCCTGAATAGAACAGCTCGTTTTCACCCTAGAGCCAAGTCAGTCTTACAAGATTCAAGCCTATTAGCAGCAAACATCGTAAGAGTTTTTCTGGGCTCTCTAGAAGCTCTTGGCATCGTGGTCTGTGCCACCATAGGAAGGCCCCACCCTTCTGGACACTCTCCAGACATCCTCACATCCGTGGAGAATTTCTAGAGATTATTTTTCCCCTACATACAAATACCTCGAAAAACCCATCCTTCTGACGGTATTATAGCTCCTCTCCTGTAGCAGGCAACCAGAGAACCAAAGCTCAACTCTTGAGCTTTGGGGGTTCTTTACAGGTGTGGGGGGGTCGCTTTATGCGGAGAGCAGTGGACAAAAGAAAGTTTGCGAGAACGATGTAGGCAGAAACGCGAAGCAATTCTTCAGTTCACACAAAGGACAGTTAATATGCAAATATTTCATTTCCTTAATTTTTTGTATTACTGTAACCCTCCCTCTGCAGCAGCACAGAGAACAATCCTATGTAGCTTTACCGCTCCAAACAACATCCCTAGATTTCTAATTAAATCCTAAGCACTGAGGTCAATAGGGAAGTCAGCCCAAAGCAACACGAGAGTACAAATGATTCACTGAGAGTAGGAGGATCAGAGTTAGACAGGAAATGCGTTTTCCAAGTCTCCACAATTTTCCTAGAAGAATTACGATAGGGAATGACTATACCGAAGTCTTCCCGAATTTTAGACTGGTTAGGATAAACCAAAGATTAAGTCAAATGCTCAAGATCCTACATACACTTCTATTCCAATGCAAAAAACAAACCAAATCAAACCAACCCCTCCCCCCAAACAAATCTAAAGGCACATATATGCATCTCTTTAGCATAACGATATTCAGGTATCAGGGTACTCGGATCAATGCAAGGACAAACGCAGTTCTCTCGGACATCTCTCGCTTCACGCACACAGCCCCCGCCAAAAAAAAAGAAGTAGTAAAATAAAAGAAGCTCCATCCCAAAACCAAACCTTAGAGCAGCTACACTTTATCCCTATCTGTTTGTGTCCTTGCTCCACAGCACACAGAGGCCTTTGCCTGCCGCATTATCTCCTCTGGCCAGCCAGCTTGCTCATCTGAGACAGTGCTTGGCAGTTTCAGAATCTACCTAGAGATATGTTTCTTTCGGAACAACGTGGGCAAAGGAGAGAGCTATTGTGTAGAGCGCACAACTTCCCCATCCACCGGCCGCCACGTGTCTGGGATCTGGCTGGAGAGGCTAGTGAACTCCATAGCTGCAGGAGAAAAGATTGGCTGTGGAAGTAGATTTGATCCTGTTATTGGAAGGCTGATAACTGTGCAAAGTGCAAGGTCTTTCTTTTTTTTTTTTTTTTTGGTCTTATCCTCTTTGCAAAAGCCAGAAAAGGAAGTTTGCAAAAACACACGTAGGAAGATGAAGCAAGGCTGGAGTTGAGGGAGACAATGCTCATGGGCTCAGCAACCAGCACAGGACAGAGCTTACAGTCAGATTTGGCCTGAAACTGTGCAGCAGACCAAAGGAAATGGTATCTGTCCTCGCTGCATGGTGAAGGCAGGAGGAAGGGAAATTAGACAAAGCTTCCTCAGGGGCAGAAAAGAGATTTGCGGGGGAACTGGAAATTGCTATGGGTGTAGAACCACCACCCTTTAATATGGCAGCAGAAGAGCCAACTAGCTTCTACTTTCAGTCTCCTCCACTTAGGGGAAGACTGCAGTTTCCTCTGTGCCTTTCCAAAAACTTCACTTGATACAGAACTGCAACACTTTGTTTCCTTCGCCCAGTACCAAGACACTGAGCAAAGGTACAGTCAAAACAGCTGCCACAGAGAAGTTGTCACAGAATAAAACTAGGCAGGTTTACAAGTGGTAGAAAGCCTGATTAGCCAAATCTAAAAGTTAATTTAGGAAACAGCGGCACATGGGCCCCTAACGCTCCTGAATTGCAACCGCAGCAGTGAAAGTTCAGGGCCTAGGTGGTCAAGTTAAAATTAAAGCGGCTTTAGATTCAAAGAGATTCAAGAATACTATAGAAAACAATATACAGGTGCAAAAGGATGAAGGTAACACAGCTACATGAACTGGGCGCTTGGGGCTTCTCCCAACTTCCTTTCAACGTGCACACTCAAGGTTGCATTGTAGCCAGTTCTCTTTTGCAGTACAAACAGTAACAGCTACCACCAGCTTATGCACTTTCTATGAGTATTAAAATTATCCACGGCTGTTTGCCCATGTCCTCTCACCCAGCAGTCTCGTGCATCCCGCTCTCTTCCCCTTCCACTCCACGTTTACTTGCCATCTCCTTCTCTTCAGGACTTTAAACCTTGCGGGTAAGCAGAGAACTGCAGTGCTGAGCTGGTCAGACACTGACATCCCATCCAGGAGAGGGCACTACTTTTGCAGGCCCCAAGCACACTGCCCGTTGCTAACTGGAGACTGCTCCGCCACAGGCAGCACGCCAAGGGAAACAAGGGGCTGGCTGCTGCACTGATGTCTGCTCAAAACGCAGTCCCCTTCTGAGGATGATGGGCCTTATCCAGGCATACTACAGTAAGGCACACTAGACAGTGAAACAATTATGTAAGTATATATAAAGTACCGAAAAGGTGACCTTAGTAAAGCTGTGTTTCATCTAAAACAGCTCGCTACCACAAAGTATGACAGAGGGAGTAAATCTATCCCTTGTTTGTTTTCCTGACATCCTAATAGCTTTATAAAAATTCCAGACCATTAATCACTCTCCAAACATCTACTGGACTTCTCATTAACACACTGAAAATGCACAGTAAGACTATCATTTTTACATGTCTCTTTCTTCAAGTTCTCTCATCAAAACACAGCACAAACATTTGCCCAATATAAGGAGCCAACACTAGCAGCCTTTCTGAGTCTTGCTATATTCTTGAGCAGGATGAGTGGGCCTCAACTGGTCTCAATCAATTTAGTTGTATCACATTTCAATCTGCATAATGTTATAGACATATGGACGAACAGTCAGACTAAGGACGACAATCTGAACTTGTTTGGGTGGACAGGCTAAGGGAACAAGTTTCCTGAAATAATTCATGCTTGGTTACACCAAAGACAGGAAGATCCAACTTGCAGAAGTCGTACATAGTCAGTCTTACTGTTGTCTACTATAGAATGCGTAAGCAAGTCAAAGCGCTAATGGGAGTAAGTACCAGGACAAGTAGGCCACATGACCTGTCCCCTCCTACCTCTTCCACCTCCTTCCCAAAAACCTACTACATAATAAGAAACAGCACAAGAGCAACATGCCACAGGCTACTCAACCTCACAGATAACACAGCAATACAAGGATCCTCTAAGGACAAGAGAGTGTATAAACCAATATTTAGCTAAACAGCTAAGAAAGAACTTGCATGTGAATGCCTAGCAGAAAAGCCCCGTTCCTCCATTCAGTATGCTGCCATCTGCTCCAGCTTGTGCTTCCTGCTTGGTTTTGTACTGCTGCTTGTGTGTTGCTTTATTGTTTGCTAGTATCATTCCCTACTTTTCAGCGGTCATATGTAAGCAAGTAGATGGCTGCTTCTTCACCAAACTCTTTAGACAATGTGCCTTGGACCTGTTCTCCTGTGGTCATTCTAGTTTCTATTTCTGATGTTCTCAGACGCTTTCAGAACACGACATCACGTTGCTGTTAATCCCCTGTTGTGCTGTTAAGTGTGGATTACAGCATCCCCTATATCTCTCCAGGCCTTTCATGACATCACACTTTGCATTACTCTCTGCTTGATAACCAAGGCCTCTTATTTGCTTCCTACTATGGTTACTGTATTAAGTTGTATTCCCAACTGCGTATAAGGTATCCTTAATATAGCCACAGTGTGTACTGTGAGACTCCTAGCTTATTCCTAGGATATGTACAGGCAACCATGTGTAAGTTACCACTGAATTTCATGGGCATAATCACGAGGAACATCTACAACTCATTCACTCTTCAGGGTATCTGACAGATCTTCCCCGGCTCACTTTTCCAGTGCAGTCTGCCTCTCTGGAAGTGACCATACTCTTATCAACAAACACATACTCAAGAATTACACATAGACACACTACTATCCAGCATATTTATCACCTTAACCTTTAATCTACATTTGTATAGTAACATTTAAAAAGGCAAAGTTTCTACTTCAGAGAGCCTACAACCCCTGGGCAGAGAGATCCATGAACTAGGGACTAAGCTCCTGACTTCTGTCTATGACTGAAGGCTTTTAATAACGTGACAAATAATGTGACAAAAGGACACAGCTGTGAATACAATTTTTAAAAGGTAAATGGCAAGTTCACAAGTTCAGATACCAATCTGCTGGCTTTACAAGCAGGAAGAGCAAAGGCTGTAACATCTCATTTTCAGTACAACGCATCAGATGCTTCTGAAGTGTATGTTGTGTATGGTATCCCTAGGATAGGAATATCCCACCATGTAGCACTTGTAAAGGTAAAGAGGGTGTTAACTCTTGTCTTCCACTGCTCCTAACCAAATGGTCCACGGGAACAGTGAGAGAATTAAAGTCTTTCATACCTCTTAACCAGATGGAAGCTTCATTTGGAGGAGGGCAGAGCTGTGAAAAGATGGAAGGGGAGAGCAAGGGAAGTCTGCCGTGATAAGCGGAAGCCAAGTCCAGCCTTATTTTTGAAAGCAGAGGTAGTTTTTTTTTTTTTCTCTCCTAGATGCACAAATATTTTTTCATGACACTCAGGCTTCTGTGCTGGGGAGGGGGAGTTTCTCCTCAAAAGTCTGCATAGTCCTTGCAAAATCCTGCATCACTCCACAGTAAAGAGTGAAAGTATGAGCTTTGCTTGCCTATTGCAACCAGACTCCCAAGCAACTGTGTTCCTTCTAGTTGTAGTACTGTATTCTAGATTTATATTCCTGGAGATTTGAAGATCCCTGGGGAAAAAATGGATCTACGTAGGTTTTTGGTTTTACCCAGTTTGTGCCATGAAGTTTAAGAGAAGCCCACTCTCCAGTCATGACATTCTAATTTGCTGGGGATGGAGGTGGGTTTGTCAAGGCTCAAGATACCACTCGAGTCTTGCAAAGAGCCCATCACTCATGCTTAGCTCCAACACTGCACAGAAAAGACACGGTAAGGATGTAGGATATATCATATTGGCCATGCCCAATTTTAACAACCCTCCCCCAAAGCTGCTTTTCCTGGAGGGAGCTAACATTTCATGAATTTTCATTTCAGATATTATCTGGAATGTGACTAGGCCAAAAACACTTGAACAAACAGCCTATTTAATACCTTGTGCTAAAACCGAAGCTCCTTTGAAGGCTCAAAGCCATGATGCAATATCTGCTCCAGGATGGTCACCAAAATGTAACCAGTGGATGTCTGAAGAGCTGATTTTTTCTGAATAAAGATAGCGCCACATGTCATTTCCCACCTGCATTTAAGATAGATCTTCAGCCATGTTAGGGCACCCTGTGACTCAGATGCGCAACAGAGCCAGGCTATGCAAAGTTCAGCTCATGGTGGAAAATGGAAAGAGATAGAGGAATGCAAAATAATCTCTAGCCCAAATTAGAGCAGCTACTGGGCTGGTGTATGTCAATGAAGACACACCTTAAGAGCTGTTCTGCCTTTCCAGGCTTGCCAGAGCACGCACGGTCTGGCTGTGCCCCCTCCTACCTCTGGCGTACTGCCCACACGCAGAGAGGAAGGGGGGAGGAAACAGGTGGCACGGCACTGACTGTGCTGGCGCTGTGCCACCCGGGATTCCCCTTCCAAGGGGTAATCCTCAGCTGCTCCTTCTGGGCAGCTCAGAATCGCTCAGCGGAGGTGCTCTGGGATGAGCATCTAACCGCAACATTTTCTTCTCTACCTAAAATTTAACAGACGAGGGAAAATTCCTACACTGCTGATAACTTCTTGCCCCCACAACGTACATACGTAAAACAGAAAGCCAGAATAAAGCTTATATGCACCTACTCCATGTGACAGCAGCAATGATTTGTTTTCTTATCAAACCCCACATTTGATTCTGGATTTTGGAATGTCCCTTCAAGTGTTACTACAAGTATCTGAGATGAAAAAAAAAACAAAAAATAAAGCAGATTTTTTATCACCTACAGCAAATGTCTTAAACTATTAGTTAGCCAACTATTATTTACCTTGCACAGGCTCTAGTCATTATTGTGTTGTGTAGAGAACTTTACAAATCCTGGAGCAGGGAGAAATATTGCTCAAGAAACAGCTGCAGAGTACAAACCACTTCCCTTGAGATAA